CAGCGTTCGGCAAATTACCACACATCTTCTCGTCAGGTATACCTCAAACTCTGAAAACTAGATCGTACAACATGTGCGTGTTGCCAGTGATGACTTACGGATCTGAGACGAGGTCCTTCACTGGCCGTATGAAGACGCTCAAGGTTGCTCAGCGAGCTATGGAGAGGGCTTCCCTGTGCTCGGGCTGCTTGGGGTTTCCCTACGTGATAAAATCAGAAATGAGCATATAAAACGGAGTGACCGACATATCCCAACGGTTTAGTAAGCTGAAGTGAGAATCGGCCGGCCATATAGTTCGAAGAACCGATAACCGATGGGGAAGAAAGGTTCTCGAGTGGCAGCCTCGTACCGGTAGGCGTAGTGTAGGCCGACCCCCCACTAGATGGAGTAGGATATGCAGGAAGTCGATGTATGCAGGTGGCTCAGGACCGTGCTTTCTGGCATTACTTGGGGGAGGCCTATGTTCAGCAGTGGACTTGTGAAGCGCTGTAATGATAATGATAATGAAATAGAAAAAAATTATATATGTACGTAGGTCAAGTAAGCACTAGAGAAACGGTGATTGCAAGACATCGCCGATAAATGAAATAATTTGAGAAGTTATCAATTATAAAGCGTTTGTTGTAAGTGATAAGAATATGTGGGGGGGGGGGGGGGGGGGGCAAAAACTCGAACAGTTTTTTTTTTAATTTAATCTCAGTACATTTGTATTGTACATTTCATGTCAAAACATTAAAACAATTTATTAAGCAAAAGTTGCATAAAAAAGCCCAATGGTTAACACTAATAAATAAAAAAACCGATAAGTTCACTGAAAATAAAAAATTCCAAATATTAAATATCTGGTAGTAGTAGTAGTGTAGTGAATCGCGATTCATCTACGAAGAGACAGTTTTGCCACATGTAATGTAGAAATAAAGAAAAAAAATGGTTGCAAAAACTGTGATAGCTTCTTGTGTGCTACATAATATTTGCAATCGTGCAGGGCTTCCTGCTCCAGCTTTGGGCGAGTATGATCTGCAAGAATAAATTCGTTTTCACAATACAATGCGTGCACGAGGAAGTTGAAGGTGTGTCCAGAGAAGATATTTTGGGGCAATCAAGTCGACAGTACTTAGTAAATAGACTATGGCGTGCGAGGAACATAATGCGTTAAAAGACATTTTACAAAATATTATTTTTTTATTTTTTAATACTTCTGCCAACAACTTCAACCCATCTCCAATGACCATCATTGCTTGAGCTGTAGAGCGGTCCCTTTCTATCTGATTATCCAGATAAGTTTGCAATATTGCAAGGTTCTGCCGTTGTATTTAAGTCCGCTGTTAGTTCCGCTTCCGCTCGGCTAGACTAATCAAATAAGGCTGTAACTATGATGGTGGTGATAGTGGTCTGCGACGTCTGCCACAATGACCTGAAGTTGTTATAAAGAGACCAAAATCAAATTCAAGTCTTATACATACTAATAATCTATTAGTATGTATAAGACTTGAATTTGATTTTGGTCTAGAGCCCCTTCACTCGGCTACGGATCTAATTAGATCATACAATACCTACCTTACGTCGGCTCTAGTACGGGTCGAATTAGATCAGATTAGATCAGAAATACTGCCTTATGAAAAAACTATTTTTTCCTTTAAAACAAAACCAAAGACAATATGCATTATATAATAGTATCAAAGACAAAGATATGCTCTTTTATTTTAAACCATAACCTGGCAATGTTTCTTAGAAAAAAAAAAAGAAATCACTCTGAACTTTCGGCGTTCCACGTGTCGCTTTGATGAAGGTGCTCCGTCTTTTTTATAGAATTTTATATTTGTGTCTGGACTAAAAACGAAAGTATTATACTTTTTATATTCTTTGTAATATAGTAAACACGTAGATATATAATTTGTGGTATAAAAAGTGAAAAGTAAATTGCCAAAAGTACTTCAAAATCCGGAAGGCGCATTTGGGCGGTTGGGTCATAAATGTGTTATTTTTCAAATTCTCATTTATTTTTAGTGTAAAATGTAAGTAAAAATAGTTATCTTACATATTTCAAATAACATGACGTTGTATTTATTTCAAATTCACACAAAAATATTTTAGAAATATTGTTCGAAATGTTATACACATAAAATATTATTATTTTTTTTTAATTTTTTAATATTTTAATATTTTGGTATGAGTAACGAACTACTGTACAAACACTTCAGCACTTCGATATACCGACAGTCAACTTGGCACCGCTGAAGGGACTGTAGCACCGCCCAAATTTCGACGGAATCAAAGGCTTTCTCATAGTCCACATACGCCAGGCAAAGTGGCAGATTGTACTCTTCGGACTTCTGTACAATTTGCTGAAGGGTATGTATGTGGTCTATGGTACTAAAGCCTTTTCGGAAACCGGCTTGTTCGGGAGGCTGGAAGTCGTCGAGTCTGCGTGCGAGACGATTCGTAATGACTCTCCAAAACAGCACTCAGAAGGGATATCGTTCTTCAAGAGCGCGTTGTCACCTTTCTTGAAGAACAAGAACACCGCACTTCTGCTCCACGCCTCCGGAGTAGTCCACCATGGATGACGGAATTAAAGAGCCTCTGAAGGACTTCAAGTACCGGTGTTCCACCCGCTTTCAGAAGCTCCGCTGTAATTCCATCCTCGCCTGGGGCCTTGCCGTTTTTAATGTGCTGGAGAGCCATTCTAATCTCGCTTAGACTGACGCCCGGGATATCATCGGAATAGTGTCGGATAAGACTTGCTCTTGGATCGTTACTCACACTTGCGTGTGGCTCCAACGATGATGTGTACAGCTGCCCATAGAACCTCTCAATCTCACTCAAAATCTCAGGTGTCCCGGAAACGATGCTGCCACACTCAGTCTTCAGCTTCGACAGTTGGCTCCTACTGGCAGACAGATCTCTGGCAAAGACTTCGGAGCCCTGGTTCCGCTCGATCGCTTCTTTAATACGAGCAGTATTAAAGTTGCGTAAGTCTCGCCGCATGCATTTGGAGATCTGTCTGTTCAGTTGCCTGTATGCTGTCAAATCTATTGCAGCCTCATCTCCCGTCTAACAGCCATGAGATTAAGAGTGTGATCGGAGAGTTTTGTGTTCTTCTACCGCGGGTCTTGCAGAACTTAGCTCCGACCGCATGGACAGTTTCCACGAGCTTGTCGTTCATATCGTCCACTGAATTGTAATCTTCTAGGCACTGAAAGCGGTTACGTAACTCGAGCTGAAAGTTTTCGGGATTCTGGATTAGAGCACGAGGGGGACGGAGCGTTGACTTCATTAGACGAGACCTCTCCAACTTAACGTTTAGGTTCAGTGTGCCTCGAACCATTCGGTGATCGCTGCCAATTTTCAGCCTTGCGATCACTGAGACATCACTGAACAGTTGGCGTCCGGTCGTCATAATGAAGTCAATCTCATTTTTTGTCGAACCGTCGGGGCTCGACTAGGTCCACTTCCTGTGGGGTCGCTTCTGGAAGAAAGAGTTCATCATAAAGATTCTTTCTCCATAAAGTCGGCCAGCTGCTGGCCCCTTCGGTTCCGTTGCCCTACTCCAAATTTCCCTAACTTCAGCTCACCGTTTTCTCTTGTGCCTAGTTTCGCCTTGAAGTCTCCCATTAACACCGTGTAGTGAGTTTTGGAGGAATGCATGGCTTTGGAAATATCCTCATACATTTCCTCCACCTCCTCATCGGGATGTGCCGAGGTTGGTGCGTAAACCTGTATGACCTTCAGCGAATACCGTTTGGTGATTCTGAGTATCAGGTACGCGACCCTCGTCGACACACTCACAATCTTTACAACGTTGTTGACGAGAGACTTGTGGACGATAAATCCTACACCTCCTTGGGACAGATGGTCGCCCTCCCGGTGATAGAACAAGTTGCCGGATTCGAGAATCACCGTGTCCTCCCCCTCTCTTCGGACCTCGGATAATCGTATAATATTCCAGCGCAACTTGTCTATCTCTTCTTCCAGCTCCAGGATCTTCTCGTCAGTCCTCAGAGTGCGTGCGTTAAATGTTGCCAGGTCGAGTCGTCGTAGGTGGCAACCGAACCTCCACCGGAGATTCTTAGCACCCCCTGCCCCGCCGTTACCATGGTCACCACCGTAGCCAGGAATAGCGGGGCCACCGGAGACTGGGGGCCGTCTATTTGTGTAATTGTTCATGTTATAATGTTGTATAACTATTAATAAGAGAATATTCAAAGGCGCATATCGTTGTTATATTCAATAGATTATTTATTATAATCTTGTATTTTGAAGTCTGTTGAATTACTGTATTAGTGATATAAAGATTTAATGAATTAGGATGTAGGTTAGGTAGTTTAAGTGTGTGAGAGTAGTATATATTATTTAGGGCGGATTCGACCAAATTCAATGTTACTCCAGAGTAACTAACCCTCGAATAAATTTACTCCTTGTTCTTACTCTCGGATAATTTAGTGTGTTTTTCCAACACCAACGGAGAGTAGCCAATACTGGGTATTGTTACTCTAGAGTTGGGGAATGAAAAATGAATGAACTTGTAAGCCAACTAAAATCGAAATACATTTGTTTATATAGCGCAATGCAAGACTTTCTGTCTATTTAAAGTTTGCCGGATTATAATAGTTCAGTCAGTGACAGTGACAGTGACAACCAACTGTCACTGTCACTGAACAAACATTAAAATTAACACGCGACTTGTCAGTTGATTATTCTAACCTTACCCTTATTTATTATATTTTCAAATAAAATATCTGGAGAAAAAAGAAAACGTTGCCCAAATTGGTTACCTTCGGAAAAGAGTTTGTTGTTAGGACTCGTAGAAAAACATTTTCGTGTCATCGAAAATAAAAATACAGAAGGTGTTACGATGAAGCAAAAATTTGCCGAATGGCAAATTTTATCCCACGAATACAATAGCCAAACGACACACTGCTCGCGTACAGCAGAAAATTTAAAAAATGAGTGGGAGTATATGAAAAAAAAAGGCCAAAAAGGAGGAGTCATACAGGAGGATGCATATAATCCAAACAGGTTAGTTTTTATCCTGCCTTACCTTATCAATGTATGTGTTGATCCAGTTATTTAGGCTAAAAACCTATAAATCTTTGGTATACATTAGAAATATGGACAGGAGTAACTATGAGCTTATAACTGGAGGAGCAGTGGACTGAGATATGCCTACATACATTTATATAGTGTTAGCCACTACTGGGAACATGCTTATCCCAAAGATCTTTAGGTGTTCAATGTACCATTATTATTAAGCACTTGATAGTACAATGCTGCGGTCTGATAAAGTGATTTATTTCCTTTGTCTCCTACATAATGGGATTATCATTTATGTTAGAAATATTTTGAAAATGTGAGAAATGGCATACTTTAAATACTTTAACTTTAATAATTTTGTCTATTTTAGGTGGTGGAACAACAAATCCAAAGAAAGAAGATCCTCTAGATTCCAAAATCATATCATTAATTAAAACAAGTGCTGTTGGGCTTTTCAACCATTTTGACAGTGACAGTGTTGCCCCAGATAGCTTAGAGAGGCATAATTTTGCTGAGGTTCAAGTTATTTTGCCTGAGGAGCCAGAATTATGTAATAAAGGTTAGTATCTTACAGCTTAGTCAAGGACCCTAGAGAAACCATACAAAATTGTTATACCTTTAAAATTTGGTTACAGATCTTGAGACTCAACTTAATGAAATTCAAAAGACGGATCGACTCGAACGAAGTATTAATGCAGGTAAATTAGTTTCTGTAGCTCTATACATTATACATCTGAAGCAACCCATAGATAATATATGCTATGTTTTGTTATAACTTGCTAAACATAAGTATCTTGACTCCATTACAATAAATAGTTCGGAGTAGGTAAAGCCAAGTCTGTCATTTTCAGACTCAAACATTTTATTGCGTTCATGTGGTTACATAAATAGTTCTTATGTTGGATATATTAGAGCCAAACATGAGCCCTGATAGGGCGTAACAATATTATATTATATTATGTTATATATCAATTTAATCTAATTAATTTAAAAAGAAGAATTTTATTTTATTTACTTAAGCTAAACATTACTTTTAGGTTTAATAAACATTTGCAATATTTACAACGATATTAAAGAGGTATACATATTCAAATTAAACAATTATTATTTTTCACCAGAAAAACTCTGACAACGAATAGAAACTTATTTCAATTAAATATTTTTTAAGCTCTCTTTGAAATTTGTACAACGATTCTTCTTTTTGTAGACATTTGGGAATTTTATTATAAATTTTTACACACATACCATGGGGTTCTGATTTAACTGTTTGTAATTTTGTGATAGGTGGAGCTAATTTTTAATAGGATGTAAAAAATGAGGCCGGGTGTATATTGAAAAAAAGGTGCATATTCTTTTTAACAAATGTGCATACTTCTATATATCTTCTATTCTTGCCATGCTGCAACTTGCACTGTCAAATAAAGAAAGCCAGACTTGCCTATAATTTGTGTTCCAACATTGTAGTAGACTTGTTTTTAATTTTAATTTTATCATTTAAATGTTATTTGTGAGATGAAATATTATATGGGCATTATGTTGTTAACATTTTTAATATAAATCTTTGTTTTAGGATTGGAGTGATTATACTCCCGAAACGTTAAGAACTCCTGTTGCAAAACCTAATCAGTATGACAACAATGAGCAAGAAGGAAAACTACAAAAATCTTGGGTTTCAAGAAGGCGACCTACATATGTAGCTCCTTCATCATAATTGCAGAAATTGCATGATAAGAAAATGGAAGCAATTGATTTTCAGAAGAGTGTTGCTGAGAAGGAGCTACTTCATTCAAATGAAGTTCACAATCTGGATTTACAAATAAAAAGGGAACAATTAAAACAAGAAAAATTAAAGACTCGTATTTTATTATTAGATTTAAGATTAAAGAAAAAGCAATTCAACAATAAACAATAAAATATTAAATTTATTTATTTCAATGTTTTATTTTATACCTTTTTTCAAATTTGGATTAATAAAATTAAGAATCACTGCAATCTACATTCCATAGCTACAATAAACTATAAAAATAATTACTTATTAACGAATTGCGTGCTAACTGGCCAGTAGATTGCTGTGCTGATTCCAAGCTTTGCATTTGGCCAAGTTGTATAAGTTCATCCCATGGAGCTGGCAATAGCACTTCTGGGTCATCAGGTGGAAGTTGTTCTCCTCGTCTGCGCAACATGTTGTGAAGTACCGCTGTGGCTATGATAACAGTTAGTGCTTTATCTAATTTTACTCGCATCCCAAGTGCCAACACTGGAAATCTTCTTTTCCATACACCATAGCACCTTTCTATAGGATTTCTAGTACGAATTTGTGACTCATTGTACAGTTGTTCAGCTGGTGTCCTTGGATTTTCTAACGGAGTCATAGTGTAACTCTTTGCAGCATATACTCTGTCCACCAATAATAATGCATTACCATAGCGACCAGTCTCAAAATGTGCTTTTCGAACGCTATTATTAAATATAGTGCTGTCATGAGTTGAACCTGGCCATCGGTTGTCGGCATGTCGGTTATTTCTAAATTGGCATTACATATTGTTTGCACATTAATGGAGTAGTATCCTTTTCTTTTTCTAAATGTCTCTGCTTGTTCTCCACCTACTTCGAGTCTTAAGGGTACGAATGTGAGGCGAACGTGTGTACAGTCCATGGCTCCAACTACTCTTGGAAAACGAGCTATTTGGTAAAATTTGTCTTGTTCATATCTTGTTTCTTGTGGCGATTCAGGAAATTTTATGTATTCTGTATGTAATGCAGCTATTGCAGCACTAACTCTGTGTACAATTTAGTTTGCTGTCGGTGTACTTAGACCACAGTAGTCTCCAATACTTGTTTGTGTCCAGTTTGTCGCATAATATCTCAAAGTGGCCAACAACTGATTTACTGGAGATATTGAAAAATTTCTGAAAGAAAAAGGAACTTTAGATAACATAGGTACTAACTACTACTATTGCTACTACTTACTATAATATTTTAGTTTTAAGTCTTTGAACAACACACATAGCTTTTAGAAAAAATATATCTAGGTAGGTGTGTACCATTGTTTATGTAGACAAATATATAGTGAAGGTGTGTACATACCGGTTTGATGTATATTCCAGTTGATGCTCGATTTTGGATAAAAGACACAAAGCAGCTTCTTTGGACAATCGAAACCTTATTACGAAGTCACGGTCATCATAGTTATCGAAATAATTGTTCCTTTCTCTTATCCATCGTGGACGCCTTGGAATGTATTCTTCATCACTGTCAGAATTTTCGATCATATTTCGTAAACGTTGCATTATTTAAAAAAATTAACCCTACTATTATCACAAAAGTACAAGAAATTATAAATGCACAACGATAAAATTTCCTACTTTTACAACAAAGCATACGAAAACAGCTGTCAAAATGTAGCGGTCGCCATTAAAATACTCTGGGATAACTTGTTTACTCTATGAATTTTGGCAGTATAGCGATTTACTCTCGGATAGTCTGTTATACCCGGGTTAAGATTTGGTAAAACGAAAAGTTCTCTAACTCTAGAGTAATTAGTGCTTTTATTCGCAGGATAAGACTTATACTAACTTTGGTCGAATCCGCCCTTAAATAACAAAATACACGTCTATACTCAATCACACCCAGGGGGGAAGGGATATGGAAAAAATGAACTTGAGGTTTCTTAACAGATTGAGGCGCTCTTGTTTGTTGATCGTTCTTGATTGATGATGGTTTGTTTGTGTTATTATCGCTGCCATTTGACTCTTGATTTACAGGTAGTAGCGATAATTTCAAGACCGGCCTTTTGAGGTAGCCATTCTTGGTTTTCAGTGTGACCACTCTCACTTGCTCATCAGAACCGGGATGAAGTTCGACGCCGCGCCCCTTAGCACACCGTCCTGGAGGTAAGTTGTCTTCGTGGACGAGCACGACGTCGTTGATCTTGATATTTTTTAGTTCCCTTTGCCACTTACTGCGTATATTTAGTTGGGTCAAGTACTCTGAACGCCATCGTTTCCATATGTCGTTATACATTTTTTGACAAAGGTACCATCTTGTTCGTAGATCTTGCTCTGTATCAAATATCGTCAACACAGGTCCACTTGCTAGGAAGTGTGCTGGCGTCAAATAGTCCAGGTTGTCTGGGTCTTCATTCATGGCGCACAATGGTCTCGTATTTAAGCAGCCTTCTAGTTGGTACATTATGGTGGTGAACTCTTCGTAAGTCAGTCTCTGTTCACCAATGACGTGTTTCAGGTGATATTTTAGACTTATAACGGCCGCTTCCTATAACCCGCCTGCTGAGGGCCAGGAAGGAGCGTTAAAATGCCACTGTATGTGCATTTCTGTGATCTCTTGCGTTAACTCTGGATTATCTTGGTCGATGGTCGATACAATTTCTTGGTATTCTTGTGTTAGCACTCTGCTTGCTCCGACGAAGTTGGTGTCATTGTCACTATAAATGTGACTTGGCGTTCCCCGTCTGGCAGCCATCCTCTTCAAAGCCGCTAAGAATGATGACGTCGTTAGGTCCGATACTAGTTCTAAGTGCACGGCCTTGGTTGCCATACACACGAACACCGCTACATATCCCTTGGTACACCTGGTGCCTCGTCCTTTACTGCCTTTGATCATGATGAAGCCGGTATAATCCAATCCTGTGTGAGAAAACGGGCTAGATGGGTTACTTCTGGCACTAGGTAGGTCACCCATGAGTTGATGTTGCTTGCTTGTTCCAAACCGTCGGCATCTCACACACTGTCGTAAGCGCTTCTTAGTAGCCCTGTTGCCCCCTACTATCCAATACTGCTGACGAATAAATGATGCTGTTAATCTTGGTCCCCCGTGAAATGTAAGACTGTGGGCTTCATCTATGATCAACCCCGTAAGATGGTTAGCGTGTGGAATGATGATTGGGTGCTTCATTTCCATGCTTATCTGCGCGTTTCTCAGTCTACCACCAACTCTTAGAACGCCTTTTTCATCTAAATAAGGGTGTAAGTTTACTATCTTGCTCTTGGTATTCACGCTCTGTTTTGTCTTGAGATCTTCTATCTCTTGCGAAAACTCTTCTTGCTAAACATGCTTGATTATTCTTTGCTTTGCTGCTCTGACTTCTTCTAATGTTAAGTATGATGGCATCTTAATTTTTGTTCTTGTAGTGTTTATGAAACGGTATACCCAGGCTACGACGCGGATTTGTTTATTGAACTTACTGTATTTCTTGATAATTTGACTCAAAATATTCATTTCTTGATCTTGGTATGTCGAAATATTTCTCTGCTTTGCCTTCTTTTGTTCTTCATTGGTATCATAACTTGTTTCTTCTTGTTTATCTTGATAAGTAGGCAGCCAGCTTGGTCCCTGCCACCACAGAGAATGACTCACTAGTTGTGTAGCAGTTAGGCCCCTGCTTGCGCAGTCCGCTGGGTTGTCCTGGGACTTTACGTATCGCCAGTCTTGTGCTGGAATGACGTCGGTAACTTGCTTGACTCTGTTCGCTACGAAGGTTTTCCACCTGCTCGGATCACCCTGCAGCCACCCCAGCACTGCCGTGGAGTCAACCCAGCCGTATTGCTTGATTTCGTAATTTTCTAAACTCTGTTTTACCTTGGACATTAATTTTGCTAACAAAACTGCGCCGCATAATTCAAGTCTAGGTAAAGATATATGGTCTTGGTATACTACACACCTTTTACTTGTTTTCCTTTATGCCGATCCCCGTTATGACCCCTTTACATTGACTTCTAGGTAGTGATAGAAGTTGAGCTGCTTTCTCCGTGATAATTGAGGTCTGGGATCCTTGGTCCAGGAGTGCTTGGAGCTTGTAGTAAGAGCCCTTGTTAGCTTGAACTTGAACAATAGCTGTAGCGAGCAGTATCTCTGGCACGTCGCGCTGCTGTGATACGTGCACACTGTTCTGGTTCTGCTGGACAGCATCTGCGCTGCTTGATGAGTTTCCCTGGTTAACCGTTCTTGATGAGCTAGGTTGGTTCATGGTTTTAGATGTTACGAATGCTTCGTGCAATATTGTGTTGTGCTTACCTTGGCATTCGCGGCAGCGATTCTTAGAAATACACTTTCCTTTGTGATGGATTAGGCAGTTTGAGCACAGCCGTAATCTTTATATGGTACTGCGTTTCTGCTGCGGCGTCATTGCTATAAGTTTTTGGCAAAAATATATTCTATAGCCATTGTTACAGAGCGGGCACGTGATTGTAAACTGATTACTTGTTTTTGCATTTGTTGGTTCTGTAACATTGTAGTTGGAAAATACTTGGTATCTTGATTTATTATGCTTCACCGGGACTGACCTGATGATGGTTTTTGCGTGGTTGGTTCTTGTTTTCTACGGGATGTTTCCAACGTAGTGAATTTTCCTTCCAGGAATGCCAAAAAATCTTTGAGCGTCGGTAACTCACGTGGTTGTTCTAGGGATTCATTGTAATCATTGAATGTTTCGTTGTCCAATTTTTGTGACAGTAAGTGCACCAGCAATGGATCCCACGTACTGATATCAACACCTAAGTTTTTCACGGCGTTGTCTCCAGAGTGGTGTCATGAAGTCGCTTGATCTGGTTGATAGCTTGATGTTGTTGTATGACAGGAATATTCAATAAGCTGTTGATGTGCGAAGTAAAAATGAGTTTCTTGTTGTTGTATCTGTTAAGAATTTCCCAGCAGATATTATAGTTTTCAGTGCTGATCGGAAGATGCTGCAAAAGCCTTGTTGCTTCGCCTTGCACCTTAAATTTAAGAAATTGCATTTTCTGTGCGTTTGATAATGATGGGTTATTATGGATAGTTTCAGTGAACAGGTCCTTGAATGATGTCCACTGATGATAATTTCCTGCAAAAACAGGTATGTCCATCTGGAGGATTGATTTTTCCGATGGGACACTGACCACAGCTTGCTGTTGATGGATCGTTTGGTGGAATTATATAGTTGTTCATAATATGAAAAAGTGCTCTCATATTCTTGGTTAGCTCCTTGAACTTCACTGTCGATGTCCCAGTGCAGACTGTCGATGGCTGACCATCGCGACTGCAAAGAGCGGAGGAGATCTTCCAGCTCCCATTTCTCCGTCACATCGTCAATATTTATGTTAGAAACTGTTCTTTTAAATGCTCTGAAGTTGCTTGATTGCTTCTTGAATAATTCATCTGTCTTGCTGTTGGTTCCCTGGGACTCCGTTCTAAATGAATGTTGAGCTCCCGAAGTTGAGGGTGTACCCATTGGAGTTGCGGGTCTTATCAAGGGCGTTGAAGGTTTTGGTTGATGTTCCGACTTCGGTAAGTACGCTTTTATTGTAGCTGTTATATTCTCATAATTTGCCTTGGTTTTTTCATACGTATTGTTAGTAAAATAAGCATGGGACTTGTCTGGAAAAGCGCACAGTTCAACATGATTATTCAGGAATTCCTGCCAATACCCTTCTAAATTATTCAATCTTCGATTAATATAGTCGGGCGTCTTTCGCTGTTATACTATTGTGTCTGAAAATTGGGCAGTGCGGGTTTAAAATAATTTCAATATATTTAAAAAACATATCAATAGAATTAAGATGAAAAATGAACATACAGTCCATTTATACATCATATTAAGTATCAAAGTGTAAAAGAGTTATTGCCACTGTGGTGATAAATAATGTAATTTTTAATTCTGTCTAAGTCTGGTCGTAGCTACCGGTGATTCTATGCCTGATTCTTTTTTCGCTCAAAGCTATAGTTTAACCATGCAGTGTTGAAATGCAACCCATTTTCTTCAAGGAACAATAATTAGATTAGGGCTTTATGATAATTTTAATTAGTATGTTATATAGTAGTACTTGTAAGAATAATTGTTTTATTTTAGTTTTAAATAAATATCATTGTTTAAGCTTACATTTGTTTTATTATACACAAAACTTCACTTTAAACAACATTAGAATTAATTATATAGTGATAAACAACAATCATTAAAAAATAATGTTTCCAATAAAAGATTTAATTATTTATTTTGCTTTTTACCCTTGAACTGGAAATGTACATGTTTTCGGGAGCCATTTTTTTCATTTTACACATTGGATTATAACATTAGAGCAAAAATAGAAGTTATGAAATACAAATAGGAATAAAATACAAAAGAAAATTAAACAAATTTTGCTCACACATTTAGAATACCCTAGAATAGAAGAGAATCATATTTATTCAATATAGATTACAAGAATACTTATTGTAAGTCATTTTTATTTCTGGTTCAGTAAAAACCTCTATCCTGGGAAGGACCAACAAGAAACCCAGAGGGTCTTATAAAATCAATTTAGATTTAGAGGTCTAAATAAAATAAACTAATCTAGCTGTTTCAACAAATATAAGGCCCCTAAACTTTTTGTAGCTAGCTAGTTTAGATATATGAGGGCCCCATTGAAGCTTCGCGTCAACTCTATTTCATAGAAAATCCCCATTTGAAAGCACATTGGTATTCACCTGTTGTAAATTTAACATATTTCGTTTTATTAGTGTTTAAAGGAAATTATTGACGTTGAATCAGTGCACTACTTTTATTATAGCACTTCGTCATATTTTAATAATTGTCTTTTCAGTCGGAAAATCAAATAGCAAGCAAATAAAACTATATCATGGGTATTCGTTACCAAGTACTAATTATAATAAATACTAGAATGTATAATTAAGTTTATATTAATGGCTTAACTCATTAATATAAGGGACAGGAATTGGCCAAGAAATTTGCCGTGACAAACACCCATTAATAACAACCGTTTGCATTCTACATATTATTTACATATGATTTAATGAGTTTAAGCACTAAGTTTTTACACCATAATGATGTATCTTCCTGATTGATGTCTCATGGTGAACACATTCGAAAGCCTTGGAAAGGTCACAAAATATACACAAAGCATCCTCTAAATTCTCCCTTGTACAAAAAATATTTTACTTTAATTAGCTCAACACCAGTGTCAGTTATCGAGTGACCCCTTGTAAGACCAAATTGATGTTATGGAGCAATTTATTTACATTAAAAAAAATTTACATTTGATCTACAACAATTTTTTCAAATGATCAGAATTTAAAATTTGACTATTTTGTAAGGGCTCATCATCAGTAAAAATGTTATTTATACAAGTTACAATACGCCCTGCAATACATGTTATTAATTAGTTTATGTAAGGGCACATCAGTAAAAATGTTACCTATACAAGTTGCACTAGGTCTTGCCATATGTTTTGGCTCTAAGAACAAATTTACAAGGTTGAATGTGCTTAATACTCATGGAAGAAGTTTCAAGGAGATTGATATTAAAGTCTCCACATATGATGACATTTATTCTGTTTATTAAGCTTGAGTGAAACTTCCTCCATATTTTTTTTTTCAAAAGAATATGGGGGTCTGTAAACACTAACAACAATGAGGTGCTCAAAATCAACACATGCTATTTCTACTGTTCCCTCAACAGAGGCTCACAATATCCTTACATTCTTTACATATTAACAATTTGTTAGCTAATATTAAGGAGCCACCACTTAAATGTTTTTCTCTGTTATAGCAACTGAGATCACCTGGTGCTTACTGAAATTAAACATAAATTAATCCAAATTCAATGTAAAACCATCCTCTGAGTGAGGGATGTTAAGTGTTTATAAGTATAATGTATAAACGCAAAATTATTAGGAATTAAACAAAATATATTCATAGAAATTAAAAAAGTAAAGCCATTTCATATTAAATAAAAATTCAAATAAAATTATTAATATACAGGATTAAAAACAATGCCTACACATTTTAAAGGTAAAGAAATTGCATATTAGAACAAATAGTTAAAAAAATAAACAGTATTATAAGCAATATTATAATGGGAAACAAATCAGATAGGCAGCAGTGTCTTCCTTATAATGAGCACAAAAAAAAAGGGTTGCTAAGGTGCTTGTTAAGCTTGGCAACTGCGGCAAACATACCCCTAAATATATGCCTATGAGGCAATCTATCGGGGAGACCTATGTTCAGCAGAAGACTTTAACGGTAACGATAAACAATATTGCTGTTGATACATAATTAAAAATTTAAAATTTTGTACAACCAATTTCAATATAAATTAGTAAGAATAACTCAAAAAGTATTGATCAGACCTTGATCAAATTTATATGGGACCACACGTTAAGCACCAGCTTTCAAATAAAAAAAGATTCATCTAAATCGGTTCACCCAGAAAGAAGTTATGAGGTAACACACATTGAAAAAAACATACAGTCGAATTGAGTACCTCCTGTTTGAAGTCGGTAGAAAATAATATGTATATAAAAAACTCTTTAAGCTTATATATCTTTTATATTCAATAATATATTTATTTTTATAAATATTATGGCCTAGGAGCAGACCATAATCGTTGCACAATAAATTCTCTTTGTTGCCGACCACTAACTAAGAGCTGTTGTTCTGCACCAACCCCGACACCCTGCAGTGGTTGCTGAGGAATTTGATGGTCTTCCACATGTCAGAGCTTTGAGTACAGCCAGTCGATGTCTGTTGCAGATGTTGTGCAAGACAGCACAGGCATTTATAATTTTAGCCACCATGTGATGGTTATAATGCAGTACCCTATGTACCAGTAAACATCTCCAACGTGCTTTTAAGACTCCTATGCACCGTTCCACAGTGTTTCTTGTGAGACAGTGCATATTAGTGTAATTCTCATATGCACTACCAGGTTCAGCATTTACAATTGGAGTTAAAAGCCAAGGTCTTAATGGATATCCAAAATCACCTGTAAATTTATTTTAATTAATTATTGAATTAGAATATTTATAAAATGATAGTATTTTTGTACATTTGATATGGTATATCTACAAACCAAGTGACCAGACAGCCTCTCCTCTATTATGAAGCTCTAGCAGATGCTGTGATATTTGAGAGTTTTTCCAAATATGAGCATCATGTGTAGCACCACCATAAGAAGCATCTATATTTATTATATTTAAATCACTATCACATGTCTGAAAAGGTTTTATATATATTTAAGTAAGTTTAATGATTACCCAATTATAAATATTAAATACTAATATTAATTCAGAATAATTTTACTTACTATTTGAACATTCCTGGAATGGTAATGTTTTCTATTAAAAAATCTTTCCTCATGTTCTGTGGGCCTGATCATAGCTACATGAGTGCTATTAATACACCCCAAGCAACCAGGAAAATCATATTTATTTAAAAATCTAAAACAAATTAAATGAAGAATGCAATTATTTTCCCTTCAGCATTCAATTCACTTTCGTAATGCTTAGTAATTCTTACCCATTTATAATAGCCTGTCTTTCTTGTAGTGTTCCAGGGAAATGTATGTATTTTTTTAGCATATTATATTTGTTTAAAGCCATTGTCACTTCTTTAACAGCATTTGATACACTAGCTTGACAAAGCCCATGCAAATAGCTCATGCCCACAGGCTTTTGATAAGAACCTGTAGCGTAGGGTGAGAGTGTTGTAAGTACCTGTAAATCAATGAGAATATTATCAAATCTAATAATAACCATTATAACATTCAAAAATTTTGTTTATAGTCAGTGTGCCAACATAATATTCTTTTCGTACCTTGCATTCCACGTTATTTTCTGTTTTTCTTCTTGACGCGACCATGTATGCCTCGGTCTCGGTCCACAAATCCTGAAAGAGCTCTTTGGAAAGTCTGTCTTTAGAAAGAGCTGGTTGCTATCGTCATGCTCATAAAAGGCGTACGTAATACCAAAACTGGCGCGAACTTCACTTGTTAGAGACTGTTGAATGCATATTTAGTTTACCGATTGTTCGACAGAGGCAGCGCTGTCGCTAGTTAGCTGGGGCTTGGTTATCGCTGATACATAATACGAATTTGCGATTTATTGGCAATTATTGTGCTAATTTCGCTGTCGCTAGCCTTCTACAAGATACGTAATACGCCGGCAGATTTACAACATTTACGTGTTTATGGAAGTCCAGTGATGGTGCACACACCAAAAGAAAAAAGAGCTAAATGGGACAGGAAATCAAGAAAACATATACTTGTTGGTTATAGTGATAATGTCAAAGGTTACCGAATATATCACCCAGTAAAGAACAAAGTCACCACAAGTAGGGATGTTATAATACAAGAAAAACCCAAGCGTCTAGAGACTGTAACTGTTTCTCTAGAAAACACACTAGGTAGAGGAATCTGTGGTGAAACTTGAACCCGTGAACAAGTCAAGCTCTTCTGAATCTGATTACTTGGATGTTGAAGAAGAAAGTTTAGAGTCAGAAGCTTGTGGAGAAAACCTGAACACTGAACAGATATACCACATGCAGATTCTACTACACCAGTTCCAGAAGTAACAGAGAAGCGTCAGAGGAGAAAAGCAGATAGATACGGTATCGTCAACATGTGTGCTACAGCTACAGGAGAAGATGAACTGACATATGCAGAGGCTATCAGTGGGCCAGAGCGACTGATGTGGTCGCGGGCCATGGCAGAGGAGCTGCAGTTATTCCAAGTGAATCAAGCATGGGAAGTTGTCGATACTCCCAGCAATGCGAGTGCATAGTATGAATAGTTAAGCATAAGTTAAAAAAAAAAAAAACGTGTACTTTAAAAATCATAGTGAATAAGAAAACTATACGGATGTATGTAAGTAAAAATGTAATGAAAAATAAAAGAAGTAAAAAAAAAAAAAAAAAAAAACCCCCCCGAATACTGGTGGCCAGCCGACAGCAAAAATAATACTCTCGAACATTCGAAAAATATTGAATTATATTCCAGAATAAAACCAAAAAAAAAATATGTTCGAAAAGTAATTTGAATCTCGTGCGCGCGCTCTTAAGTGCGCTTATCGGTGCACCGTGCATGCGTCGGTAACAGCGGTCGGTAATGTTCGTGCTGATCTCGGTTAAATTCGTTTTCTTGAGGAACCGCCACGGCCGGCGCCGCGGCGACGACGGCAGCGCGGTGGCGGCTTATCCATATCCACGGGTTATATTGTTAGAGCAAGCGAGATAGCAATAGTCCCGAATTCCCGATTGCTCGCGTAGGTAGGTAGATACACGAAGCTGCCAGAGTCGGTTTCATGATTTCTGAGGAACCGCCACGGCCGGCGCCGCGGCGACGACGGCAGCGCGGTGGCGGCTTATCCATATCCACGGGTTATATTGTTAGAGCAAGCGAGATAGCAATAGTCCCGAATTCCCGATTGCTCGCGTAGGTAGGTAGATACACGAAACTGCCAAAGTCGGTTTCATGATTTCTCCAGACAGTTTTCGACTCTATACGCGCGGTATAAAAGCCACGCTAACCGTAGCGACCGACAGTTCGGTTTTAGTTTGAGTGAAGTGTCAATAATTCTAGTGTAGATTTTAAATCAACTAGCCGGTGTCATATATTTTGATCCACATTCAACGTAGATTTCCCGTCAAGTGCCGTGTATAATTGTGTTGTGAAATCGTAAGTAAAACTCTGTTATTAGTAAGTGTTTCCCTACCTATTTAATCAATTATTTTTGGTAATTTAAAAAAGGATGGGTAATTTAAGTAGGTACTGTAATTGTTTTTAGGTGCTGTGTTAATCCTAGCCAGGATTAGAACGCAACATGGACAAGCCAGGACCTAGTAATAAACGTAAGGTTAAAGATGGAAATCCGTGGTGGAGTATCGTAAAGCGAGTCCCCCGCCTCGCTGCCGCTCGACGTGTCGTCCTCCCGCGCGTCTCCACCCGCGCGTATATGCGACCGGTTCCTAACACCTCGGTCTACTGAGTTAAATGCATTTTCAACATTCACCTTCAACTGCCCATTTGACCTTTATCCCGAAACCTAGCTGCACAGGCTGGAATATGGCCGCGAGGTCTGGCTGGATATGTTTGCAGCAAACCTATGAAATAATGCGGCAAATCGTGTTACCAACTGCTATGGGCCGAATACTTCCATGATTATTTAAAGGCGCACAGGTTTCCCCATAAAGTACCTGTGTAAGCCAAAGTCCAGTTTTATTTCACATTTTAAATTTTATTATTTTAGCGTTATTATTTTATTCACTTATTATGCCTCAGCTTTACCTATAACTATAAATTCTATTCATTAAGTCACTTATTAGTAATAATTGTCTTTTGTCACATCATTGATTTCGTAAGTAAAATTTTGTTGTATAAATAAATATATTACAATGTATACAGAAAACATAAATTCAGAAATGTGTTATTCTGGGGAGCGCATTAATTACTAAGTTTGTATGAAAAGGATTTTGCTGCCTTCTAAAAAAAGTGTTAGTAAGAGTTATTTACATGAACTTTATCAACCCCAATTATTTCAGATTTTTCGCACCTCAGATATATGGTTTTTTTCGGTTTGATTTTGATGCACAAAAATTTTTGGAAGTAAATTTTATGTATTGGATGCAGACATCCAATACATAAAATTTATATTACACGACAACTGTGCATGGAAATGTTGAAACAAATTATGGTGATGTAAATCTTAATATAAGGTGTCCGCTTAAGGTTTGGTTTTCTGGGATAGCGGTACCGTCATATAGCAGCCGTAATATTGCGGACGCAAAGAGACGGCCGTCTTTACGGAGATGATATGTAGAAAGTTCCACGGACGTATTAACACACCGTCTTTTTAAAAAAAAAACGTCAAACGAAACGTATCCAGCAAAGAAAATGGATTATCTTAATTTAGCTTTAATAATTTACTTGGAGGATGAACCATCATCAGAAGAGAAAAATAGTCGTATGGCGGTGCATTTGAGATTTTAGTGCGTCGCCGTTTACTGAGCAATGAAGAGAAATTCAGAGAATATTTTTGTCTTACACCAAAGATGTTTGATTACGTACTTAACAACATAAGAGATGATTTGATTAACAAACCATGCAACAAACGCACAAAACCTATAATCCCAGAAAAAAACTGTGTATACTTCTTAGATAAGTCAATAAAAACATTTTATTTAATCCTGTATTTATTTAACATTATTAATTATTAATAATATTATGTTTCATCATCTGTTTGCAAAACTTAATATATTTGTCCTTAATGATTTCTTAAATTTACGCGAACGCTACGCATTGAATAAAACTATTATAAACGGATTTTACCGCGTTTAATTACTACTTTTTTATTTTTATTATTAATTAAACAAGCACCTGGCTGTTCATCTACTGTAATTAATGAAGTGCCTTGTGGAGTAGGAGCTACAATTAGTGAAGCACTAGTACTACTCGTAGTAGTTGTGGTAGATATAGGCGAAGAAACAAGGTTTTCATAATTATCACTATTGGTAGTACTGGGTCTTAGAGATATAAAGCACTGCCTTGAGTTGAATTGTTTAAAATATGGTGTAATTCAGCATAACCAACTAATGATCCTATTTGCAACTTTAATTGCACTTGCTAGTAGGGTGGCAGCTTCTTTAAATATTTTTGCCATTGAACCCAAAAAAAGATCATTTTCGTCTAATCCATTTTGAGTAGAATTCCTCATTGTGTGCGTTATGTTTCCGTTTATGGTTCTTAGCTCTATTATCTTATTTATGATCATTATTATCACATATAACTTTTGCTATTTTCTGAGTGTTTCATAGTGTTTCTTCGTTGTTGGGAGTATTTTCCATTATTATAGTTCCGTCTCCTGGGGTTTGTGTTCGTTCGCTCTTATCATAATTGTTTTCCATTATCACACTATTATTTGCTAGGTTTTCATCTACATTAGTAATACTGCTTCTTTAGGGCGTAAGAAGGCTGTCCAAGAATGACAGGAGATCAGATATTTTCTTTGCCGCTTCCCCGCTGGAACCAGTACCTGGTTTCCCTCTACTTCGAATATAATAATCTCGTATATAACACCATCTCTTCGAGCAATGGAAATCTTCAAAATATATTCTATTTGTAACTACAGCAAAGAATATATATAGTCATAGTCTTAAACAAACAACAATCTTTTAAATTAATATATTACATTCATTATTCATTTATTTTTTTATTTCAGACACTTGGCCACATGAGAGTCTTATCGTTCGCTTTCCTTTCAGTATCGAGTAAGCCATAGCTGATAAGCGCTATAATAAAAGAAGTCAGTACTGCCATTGTCAAAACTATGTTCCGGTTAGTTATACCATTGCCAAAAGATCATCAACTTAAAAGAATCAGTGACCAGTATCATTATGAGTATTTATTAAAGTGGAATATTCCAAACTGCGTGGAAGCAATTGATGGGAAACACATAAGAATAAAAGCTCCCATCAATAGTGGGTCATTATATTACAACTACAAGGGGTATCTAGTACTATAGATGGGGATTGTAAATTTATTGCTATTGATGTTGGTTCTTATGGAAAAGAAGGAGATGCTGGTATTTACTTAAAAGCAAAATAAGGCAAAATATAAGAAATCAAACATTTAATATATCAGAACCGAAGGCCCTACCTGGAACAAATGATGTGATACCACATGTATTAGAGCCGAAGGGATGATGGGAGACGAAGCTTTTGC